TAAAGAAAAATGTAAATAAATAACTATATAACTATAACTTGTTTATGATACAATTTCACGTAAATTGGAAGTCATAGGACTTCCCAAAAAATTTTTTTTTAAACTGTTCGGTGACTTTTGGCCACCCACTATATATTTATCATAAAGGACATTAGATATAAAACTTTATTAATGTATATATGTAATACATGGATTGCATCAAACATCTTTACAAATAAAATATATAAGTTAATATTAACCTATCTATAATGCTAACTATCAATATCCTTATTATACTTGATATACAATATATAACGAAAATAATTACCATTAGAAAAAATGGTATAACTCAACAATTATGTAAAATAATTAAACAATTTCAGATTTGCCAGAAAGCTTATCATTTCTTTTATTATTTATAAAATTTTCAATACAAAATTCTATTACCATTTTCTTTCAAAACAAGTTTACACCTATTTTCCATTGATAGTACCAAATTATTCACAGTCTCATCTGAAATCATATCCCATTCTTCAACCATAAACTTTTTCAATTCCTCAATATTTTTTGGCATATGTTTTTTAATGTTGTTTTTTATCAAGTACCACATGTTTTCAATGGGATTCAAGTCTGGACTATTGGATGGTCAATTTATAACTTGAATTCTATTTTTAACAATGAATTCCTTAGTGATACGTGATGTGTGCTTTGGATCATTGTCTTGTTGTAAATGCCAGTTCCTACCATAAATTCTTTGGGCAGCTAACAAAAGCTGAGTTCACAATATGTTTACATAAAAAGGGCCATCCATTATATTTGTAAAGCAGAACAATGGTGTTTTGCCCTTTTGTAAAATACCTCCCATGCTATCACTTTTTGTCGTGATTTTGGCAACCGCTATATGAGTTTTTCACTATTTTTATGCCACCGACGGATCTTATTTCAGAAGAGGTCAAATGCTGTCTCATCAATAAATATTGTTTCATACCAATTGTCCTGTAAGTGTACTTCTACCCATATCTTCTGCATTTCAATATACTGGTCAGTAAGCATCGGCATTCCAATAGATACAGAGCTTTTGTAATTTTTTTTTTTCATATGCCGCCAAATAGCAGCATGTGAAATTGAAATTTCTTGTGTTTTTTGTATTTTTAATACAAGTTGCCAGGTTGAAACAGCAGAGTTCCTATGCACGTATTGTCCAATGGCGCGAGCGACACTTTGTGTAACCTTCAAAGGACATTCATTCCCCTTTCTGTGCTCAACGATTTTTATATCTTGAATTTTTTTAAGGTTATAGGTAATAGTACAAAGAGGAATGTTAGTTTTTTGATATATCTTTTTTGCAGATTGGATGCCACTAAGCCAGTAATAGAGAATTGTTTGTCACTGTGCCTTTAATCTAGAGTTGACCATGATTGTAAAAAGGTGGGAGAGTAAAACAATGGATTGTTTTGAAATTTATATCTTTAAAACGTGTTTACTGAAATGGTAACTAATTAAAAATAAATATGTGTTTATAATAAACAACACATCACTTTGTTTATTTACAAAATAATTTCAATTGTTCAAAGGCCATTATTTTCATTACACACTGTAACTTAGATTAGTTTTAATATTGAATGATTAATATTTTTTCAGAGCTGAGATAAAATCTTGGGACTTGAGCAGACTACTTGAGTAGGGATGGGTTCAGTTTGTTAAAACCAGTTTAAAACTGGTCTTTCAAACTGGTTTTATCAGTTTTTGGTCTGCAAAAATTAAACCGGTTTAAACTGGTTTATAAGATAATAAAAAAAAATTTTATCGATTATCCAATAAAAATATATAAATAATCTGATTGATTAAATGTCAGATTTTTTTTCTTTAATTTTTTGATTGAAAATGAGTAATAATGATAAAGAATTTACAACTGATAATCTAAATAATAATGAAGATATTACTTATGAAGATATTTTGTTAGAAGAATTAGCAAGTAATATTATATTATCTGAATTCAGTCATTCAACAGCACGATCTTCCAATCAAACTCAGCGAGGACCAAAAATTACATCATCAGTTTGGTCTTTTTTTGATAAAAATACAAAAAGACATCCTGAACTTCCTGTCTGCCATACTTGTCAATCAGTTTTTCAAAAAACAAGCAGTACAACATTCTTAAGATATCATTTACTCAGTCACCACATCAATACACCACATAAATAACAAAAAACATTTCATAAATATCAAACAGATTTATATACAGAAAAAGATCAAGAAGTACAAGATAATGCTATAATTAAGTAGATTATATGTGATCAACAACTATTTACTATTGTTGAATGTAAAGAGTAACATGAAATGATACAAACATTTGATCAAAGATAGAGTTTTCATAATCGGAAGACAATCAAGCAACAAATTCTCAATTTATTTGAAGAAAAACAAATAGACATTAAGAAAACAATTGCTCAAATTTCAGGAAAAGTTTCATTAACATCTGACATATGGACTGTATCAAATAATGATGCTTTTCTCAGCCTTACAATTCACTTCGTCGACAATATTTGGATGTTAAAAAATTTTCTCTTGGACATTATACCTTTTTCAATTTACCATACAGGTATCAATATGACAATTGCAATAATGGATGTTCTTCAAGAATTCGACTTGGCCAAAAAAACCTTGGCATTAACTACAGATAATGCCTCATCAATGATTAGATATGCTAACTATATGACTGAAGAACTTGAATTAGATTTTAATAATCTTATATTTGCTTATTATTGGTGTGTGGCTCATGTTTTGAACCTTATAGTCAATCAAGGAATGGAATTCATCGATAAATCAATTTTGAAAGTTCGATCACTAATGTCATATTTGAGAGCTTCTTCAACAACAAATACAGAATTGAAAGTTTTATGCGATATAAAAAATATTAAATATTTGGTACCAGAATTGAATATTAAAACATGATGGAACTCTATATACTATATGTTAGATAAATGGCAAAAGATGGAACCAGTCATAAATATACTTGCCATGGATAATCAAATTATATAAAGAAAATGTCCAAGTAATAATGATTATCAAAAAATTCAGGTAAGTTCTCAAAAATATATTTTTTTACAAATATATTAAATTATTAATCATTATTTATTATAAAAGAATACTATAATTTTACTTATACCAATCAAAAGAGCCACTCGTCTTCTTTCAATATCAAATTATCCAACACATGGTGATATTCAAGTCGTTTTTCTCAGAATACAAGTATATTTTACTCGTTATATGAATAATGAAGAATTCTCTGAGTATCTAATGGCACATGCTATATATTAAAAATTGGATAAGTATTGGTCTTTTATGAATAATTCATCTCAAATTTCAGCTGTTCTTGATTCGCGAACAAAATTATTAGTTTTTTTAACAGATGAGCAAAAAAACAATGTTAAAGACTTAATTATTCGCCTGATAGAATATCTCACTTTAACATCACCTATATCAACTACAATATTACAGATAAATTAATAGACACACGAAATTTCTTTAAAATGCTTTGTATTAACTCACCATCAAGTTTATCTATTGCCGCCACCACTTCCTTTGCCGCCATCATCTCTGCTACCACTATCTCTGCTGCTATTTTTTCTGCCACCATCATTACCTTTGCTGCTACCATCGCTACCATTGTTACCTCTGCTGTTGTCATCTCTATCACCACCACTTCTGCCACCACTGCCATCATTATTACTTATAATAACATAGCAAATGAACTTGAAAAATATCTGCTGGATGGAACTGAAAACAATATCGATTTATTATTATGGTGAAAAACTCAAATAAAAGAATATCCGATTTTAAGCCAAATAGCATAAGATTACCTATCGATTCAAGCAACCAGTGTTGCATCTGAGTAGGCTTTTTCCATAGCAGAACATACTTTAATAGCTATGAGAAATCG